TGTGTGTGTGAGAGTGTGTGTGTGTGTGTGAGAGAGAGAGTGTGTGTGTGTGTGTGTGAGATAATGAGTGTGTGTGTGTTGGCTAATGCACTGCACAGGTAAACACATGCAACTGCTGCTGCATAAATGACAAACTTCAAAAACTGCAAAGAAAGGTAAGAGATCAGGACAGATTTAAACTAATGTTTATGGTTATTTAGCGAGTGAAAGTGTTTAATCTTACAGTTTTAATCCACAATCAACACATTCAACCTGAAATGTCACGATCAGTTTAATAAAGGCTCTAAATTCATCCTTTTCTTATAATCCCTCTTACGTATTTTGCAGTACACAAAAATAAAACTAGAATCACAAAGTGCAACTATGAGTCTAAAATATTGACATTTAAACAGTGAGAGGCCTGGTATCCCCGGGCTGGAGTTTAAACTCTTTCCGGCCTCCGGCTGCTCAAAGCCGGTCACTCACACAGCAGCGCCGCGGCGCTGAACGAACTCTGACTGAAGCTGCAGTCGATGTGTAAACCCTTCCGTGCCAAACCTCCCTAATGTTTACATTATTAATCAAAGACACTGTCGTTTCCACACGTTCACAAACCTCAACACTTATAAATATGCGGAGAAAAATATAAGACGATTGTAATTACTGTAAAAGTGTGTTATTACTGCTATTATTACTGCTCGAGATCCACATACATCACACTGCGAGAGACGGAAATATATTTTTTCAATGTGATCTAAGTTCATAATGATCAGATCCTCATTTGTAACGAAACAAGCCTTCATCATCATCATCATCATCACTGTCCATCAGCGCACTTAATAAATCAGAAGCTGTAGAAGTGACACGAAACAAAAGCGTTTCAATCACAGCACAAACACAGTAAACAAAGTCGCTCATGAAAACACTTACAGATCATCGCAGCAGCAGCTCACAGTGAGTGAGTGTGTGTGCGTGTGTTATCGTGTACTTCTCTGCGTGTGCGTGCGTGCGTGCGTGCGTGTGTTATCGTGTACTTCTCTGTGTGTGTGTGTGTGAGAGTGTGTTATTGTGTGTGTGTGTGTGTGTGTGTGTGTGTGTGTGTGTGATACTCACAGAAAGCAGAAACTCAGCGTGACTAAGCACAGACGCGCGCGCTCCCGAACCCCCGTGCACGCGCAAACAGCGTTCAGGCGCCAATCAATCAATCGAGGATCGAGTCTTCTGCTTCTGTCAGCTCAGGGCTGTTAATGATAACAATATCCTTAACAACTCTCGTTTATTACCGATATTAACATGGCTTCTTGTTAGTCACGATCTTTAGTCTTTATTATGCTGTGTTCTGTTAATGCGTGAACTTCAGCTTAACTGTGAGACACACGCTTTCATGTAAATCTCACGCTTTCAAGTTTTGTAAGTTTTAATACGAAATTCAAACAATAATACCGTTTTGGCGCACTTAATGTGGCGGAGTTGTAGCGCCTCAGTGAAAGTAGAGTTGCTACATTGCTTCTTTGATCTCTCCGCCGCGCGGTCACGTGGTTTAACAGCATACGTCACAGCTTCACTCTACAGCTGTTTGCAGCTACTTTTGGTCAACATTACAGCATATCAAGCGTTGATTATTACGTCGATGACATTTACAGGATCATTTTATTCTGGAGAGTGATGGAGAGGCAACATTAATATGCTTTTCTTGTATTTAACCCTCAGGTATTCCGTACTTAGAATGTGACCATAGACCTGAACTATTTTTAAAGTTAATTAAATGTTCTATATTTTAGTTCAATTATATTTATTTAATATTTTGAGGAGATCGTTTGGTACTAAATACTATTTGTGCGATAATTATGGTCCATTATTAATGACCACTTAAAATATTTTTTCTAATGTTTCTATTATTTATATCACAATTAGTGTAGTAGGCCTATTTAAGGTTTAAGAGACAAATTAGAGTCATTTTGTGGTTGGAAAAAAATCATTTTTATTTGTAATGCCATGGTTTACCCACTAGGTACCTCTATGGCTCTTTAATAAATATACATGAAATTTAAAAAGTTAATAAATTACATCCTTTTTTAATTTTTAATGATATCAAGTACACACAGGTGAATATTAATGAAAACAAGCAAATACTGAATTTAACCCAAGAACAGTTTAAAATGGTGTTAAAAAGGCATTCAACAGAAGATTTGTATCCCCTTATACACTATATACATATGTATTGACATTGAATCGAGATCAAATTAAATATTAATTATATATTATATATAAATATATAAATTATATATAAATTAATAGGCTATATAGTTCTCAAGTTGGAAAATACATTTAGTTCCCAATTTAAGTGATCTTTAGTTCCCAGGACATCTTCAAGATGGATTAAAATGCTGATGAATACAAGAAAAGATGAGACATAAACACATGAATATGACTGAAATGTTAAAGTGTTTAAATAATAATAATAAAACACGTTACATGTATCGAGCACTAGGTGTCGCTGCAGGTCAAGGCTGTTCTGGATATGTGGCGGTTCTGTGAGTGCGGAGGGATTGTTGGCTGTTGGCTGTGACTCTTGACTGGCACGTGCTGCTAACTCTTATTTAAGAACTGCTGTTACTGCAGATGACTAGGGACATCTGACATCTGCATGGTTTTGCGTTTTCTTAGAGTTGAGTTGGGCATTTGTATCTCATAAACATATAGAGCTGCTTCAGAAGTAATGATTTCTTAATCTTCTGCCCTCATAAAACCTCTCAAGTCCGATTTCATCATGGCCAAACCCATTTAACCAATAGCCCTGATGATCACAGTTTCATTTCTATATATAATCATCCGAAACTTCAGTTCTGGCGAATGATGAAAAGGTGTGTGTGTGTGTGTGTGTGTGTGTGTGTGTGAATGTGTGTGTAGTGTTTGTGTGTGTGTGTGTGTGTGTGTGTGTG